CCGTATATTGATCACAACCCTATAGCGTTCGCTTTTAATATTCCTTGTGAGATTTTTTTGACAACCATTTGGTGAAGACTTTTCACTGGTAGCAATACTGGGAGGTAACTGGCCCAAACAACGATTAAACACAGCACATTTGGATACGTTCATGAAATTTAGAGTCGCGATAGTCCGTAAAGCTCCTACTACCTCTAGATGAAACGTGTGTCAACGACCCATCCGACCATCGATGTTTGGTATTTATCCCATACAACAGTAGCCAATTGGTTTCCCGTAAAGTGCGTACAGGTCGAAGCTAACATATCCTAAATAAATAACCGAATTTCCCCATGCACAAATGCTTGTTAGCTCCTCTCGAATCTTCGTAAAATCATGATAAAGCTTTATCAGAGCAAAGCCACAAAACATAATTGGCAAGATGAGAAATAATTTGTTCTTAACAAGAACATGCTACTCGTAAATTTCTTAAAACTATTCGGGAGCCTACGACCGATGTATAAGCTGGGTTCATGTGGAGACTTGGGAATACGACTACTGTTGAGCCTTGATATGGGGAAAATGATTGTGGAAGAGTTTTCAATCACTGTCAAGGAACCAACCTCTTCAAGAAACCAAGTAAATTCGAGGGGTTACACATGACCCACATCTCACGTGTGGTTTTTGGATGTGGGCTGCACACCATAGAATGAAATGCTAAATAACGTTGACGATCAGCAGTCCGATCAGCTGGTTGTCCTTTGAGAACATCCAGTATAAAGTAATTACCATGAATTTGTTTGCAAAATCAAATCAAACTCTGTTCGTAGATTGGTTCCCTATTTAGAGTTTATGAAGCTTTTCAAACAGAGAGAAGGTATGTGGCTTTTGCTTCTAGAGCAAGTAGATGCAGTTTAGAAGGAGGAATTTTCCGGTCGGGCCTGGCTAGCAGGTCTGAGTTTGGTGACCCTTTGGATTACTCGGTTGAGACATGTATCTGAGGCTTCCTTTTGGTTGTGAGAGCACGTCAAATCAGCAATGGGATTGACTGGAACTGAATGAAATACTGAAATAATATTGTGGAAACATCAAGCGAATCACAACATTTTCTTTAATCCAAATCAGAACAAGCGTTGTACACCCCCAGAGCTTGAATCAGTAAAGAAGAATTATATGTAAAGCGGTGTCATTGCGTAGTTATTAACACATTTCCAGAAGTATATCCAAAGACGCCCTCAGTACCGTTCATTTACGTCACCCGTTTCCAGAAATTGGCTGCAGTCGGTAGTTTTTGTGGCCGACGCACCTACACACAATACAGAGAATTAAATGGCCTGACCCGCTGTCGCCTACCCTCAGTTTATAAGCACAAAATTTAAGGTGTTGGGTACACCTGAAGACTCGCCTTATAAGTCGCACAGGTTCAGGACTCTTGTAGACCTGAGCATAAACGATAATGCCCTAAGTTCATCCCTCTTACAATTTTGTCAACTGGTCACATACTGGGATGGATAAGTTCTCTTGTTTGAAATGACAACATACGGAACATTTCTGTCTTATTATATTATCAATTATACCGTCAAATAAAATGCTCTATATTTTCTTCCCACGTGGATCTTACTTGCTGATTCATCTCTAAATGTCAGCTTTCGAAATGGAGTCCGTGGCCTCCACAGTGATACCCTTTAGACGTGGGTCACCCTCTTCCAACCTTGCAGTCATCTGCCTACCTTTAGCCGCCAAGTTTATTCTGCTTCTCTGCTTTTCTCTCTTCTCTGCTTCTCTCTTCTCTCTTCTCTGCTTCTCTACCCGTCATAAATTCTGGTAATTCTTCTGTTAACTTCAACTTTGTGTCCTAATTCCTTCGCGACTATCCCAGAGAAGTTAGCGTCTCTGCAGGTTTCCCATTCCTTCGTGAAAAGTGTACGTGTTCATCTTCCTTTAAATGTGGATCGATCTATTCGTGAGTCCTTAAACTTGAGAAGCAGTCATCAAACAAATGCAGTGCGTGCCTGAAAGTGGAAAATAACAGGAAGCACCGATAGGCAGACGCTGGCGGATGTATTCTTGTAATTCGAGGTGCACTGGATGCGTTGCAGTATGTAAAACCGGATCGTGCGTGATCAATAAATTTGGCTGCAGTGTAGGAAAGGTAGCTCATTTACCGTCACACCTGTCTGAAAATGATTATTTGGGAGTTAGTTTAAGGCACTGCTCCCATATAGCCCACACTGGAGACGAAGAAACACACTGAATATGACTGTCCGTCTAACTCCGACAGATACCGACGACCATCCATTATCATTGCTTCATTCAAAAATTTCGATTCATTTCTGATCGAACGAATTCTCCATGAAACTGATGCTAACGTCGTCTGGACTGACCAACGAGATTTGTTCTGAAGTTAAACTGCACAGGTGGTATTCCGGCTCAAGTATCATACGTTGGATCTTCCTCTCCGTACCCTTACCGTTAGACCAGTGCGACTGCACTGGATTTAGCAAATAGACTTCCTCAAGTCTGGTATGAGGAACTTCTTGACACATTACCTGTGTATGGAATGTATGTAGACTTTACCACTTTAATGAAAAGCCCCTTTAGGAGTCACTGCACAGACGAGATGAACGGCGTTCTCTTACACTCGGAACATCGACAATGGACTGTATCAGGGACGCATGCACTCCTATGCTCTACGCATTTGCAGACGGCCATAGTCTCCACAATTCTTTACCTCGCTGCACACATTTATCGAATTCAAGGTATGTGTGATGTGGCTTCGCGGACATGAACGTCCGATCCTATCTAAGAAGACCTGTACCGTCAACATCCGCCAATAGGTTTTACGGAATGCAGCAACGCTCCAAATTCGTGCGGCTGTTTTCTCTCGCCATCCAATTCACTAGTTAAATCCTCTGTTGAATCCAATATCACTTCACATTTTTTTCATTCACACTCCAAGAACCTACTCCGGTCCATCTAAGATGTTTCATCTCCTGTATCGGACGTATAACTGTTTCATCTTGACCTAACTTCATATCTTGTGTGCAAACACGCCCCGGACTACTCACATTATACCCAAGTCAAGACCCCTACATTTTGTATCCAGTCTTGATTCAGTCCTATTTAAATCTGCGTTTTGCCCATACATCATTCTTGACAAAAATACGGACATTTTCTTCCGTCTTACTCTACTGCTAACAATTATGAGAAGCACTCACTAAAGGTGGCTAACTGCGTCCTCCCCTCTATACGGTTTGGCAGTACAACTTGTCTTTGCTCATCCAACTGTTCCCATAAAGCTTCTTCTACTTGTTTTAAGACTAGATTATTATTTGTTCTGTTCCCTGGAACAGCTCGTCTTTGTCATTTGTTTCTTCTACAGTGTATTCAGCTTCCAACCATCCACCGACCTACTTGGCGTTTGCCTCAATCCACTTCTAGTGTTTTTTGTGTGTATGAATATCATATTTGTCTACATAGGATTTCTGATACACTACACCGTCGTGCACTACAGTTTATGCAACTGTTATAGAAGAGACACACATTGGACTACGTTGCTTGTAAAGATAATAAAAAGACAATTTTACTGAACTTCGGCTGGTTCTCCGGTCAGTTGTTGACCTAGAGTTACGGCAGTGCAAAGGTCAATGCGTCATTATGCTGTACTGCCTAGAACAGTAGATAAATTTCAAATGACCCACATTTTTGGAGCAGGAAAGCACGTAAACAGCTAACAACCTGCACTTCTGCTATCCGTGTTATACTACTGTAACTCAGTTGACAACCACTGCGTTGGCAGAATTTCACTTGTCACCGCTCTAATCGTATTCTTCACTTGACCCCAAGTAGCTGATATCAAGGTGTCATTCGTTTAAAGCAGCTATATTTGTAAACTTGCTTTTTATAACACTCTTTTCCACCTAGGTGACATCAGCTGGCGTAGAACTATGAATGTTGTGTGTTAGGTCAGTTTTTCGTGTTGCCTTTGTCCCAAACTTGGTCAGCAGCCGCTCAAACGACCAGGATCCACTGGCTTATGTAACCAAATACAAACAAACGGCCGAACACATGGTAAGTTTCATGCCTACCCATCAGCGTAATTGAAACCCACAGCGCGGGAGCCTTTCGCAAATTCATTGTGCGAACTTCAGCACTACTCCATTGCTACAATTACCCACCAGTTAACCCTTTTCCAATTGGTCTGCCACCATATTTTTAAGCTTCTTGCCCAGTTTACCCTTTACAATTTCCTAGTCCTCCTTCCTGACGCCAGTTGCAAACGAATTCACTCATCCAACCCTAAAGATTAATCAGCATTCTTGGCAAGATGAATGTTTACAGCAAACGAATTCACTCATCCAACCCTAAAGATCAATCAGCATTCTTGGCAAGATGAATGTTCACAGATCCGAATGATCCGCTACGACAAACTCTGCGGACCAACTGTTCAAGCCGGAACTGTTTTGGTTCCATTAGGGGCACATCATTTAATTAGACTAGTGATATCACGTGGAACTCCCTCATCCGAATTTCCCGTATTTCATCCAACCAGCACATGATCTGAAAACTAAGAGCTCGTTGAGACGCAGCTGGAGAAGCTATTCTGGTCATCAAGTAACGATTTGCTTTTTGACGTTACCAAATACACGGCTGGTTTCGTTGCTATTAGTTTACCCGTAGTGGATTGGTTATGCAGCTGGTCACTTCGAGCGAAGCCCTAATTTCGGGTCCAGTGAAGGAACAACGTAAATAATGCACGAATGCATCAGGACAAGAGTTCGGTGACCCGTTTTCAGAACCAAAGATCGTGTACGCTGTTGTCCGATAGTTAACAATGGAATAATTTAGCGAAGGAGATCCCATGCGGCAGAAAGAGCTCCGCTTAAGACATGCATCCTGCATTTTCGCGTCATCTCCATGCATGTCGAAATCTCTACAGAGAACAGCGTGATTTTATGCAGGAAAGCCTGGATTCGAGGGTCCAGCACAAAAAGCATTATCTGACATCTTTTTTCCTAAGGTTACAAGTATTCTGCATCGGTGTATTGCTCTCTCCGCTGGTCAGCATCTGCGGTATTAATGAGAATCTCCACCATTCGGCTTGAAAAGGGGAAAAGAAAACTGAAAGGCGCAGGTAAATCTCTTGAAATTTAGACACAAAAAGTTATCACGGTGGATAATTGTCTTCTACAGAAGAGATTGCCACATGCTGTATGTATTATCTTGTAGTGCGAAGACTTGCCTAACCAGATAGCATATAAGTTTATTTTATACACCCAAGCACTCCACAACGAACCCTGTAATAATTTTCTTCTGAAATCCTGGACGTTCGAATCTGAAGAGAGTATTTCATTCATTTCAGTCTGATGACGAATCTGGCATCTCTCTTGCTTCTCATAATCACTACAAGTAAGTTCTTTCAAAACTCAGGATCAAATATCAGCTCTGGACATTCACACACATCAGCATCTTGTATGTTTATGCGCCACCGTGCTCATCACGTGATTTACGGAAGCTGCTTGTCTCTTGTCAACTTTAACAGTGAAAGAAGCACGGAGTCCAGGTGTAGGACCGCCAAGATGCCGTTGGGTCGTGAGAGTTGAGAAAGCCTGGTGGACAGGGATAAGAGAATTATACACTGGCAGCTTGATCGATGAAAACTGGGTGCTCACTGCGGGAAACTGTTGCCCAGAATTGAACAAAACTTTGTATAGTTACAGAGTTCTATTGAGTGCATCATGTGTAAGTGTATGTGTGTGTGGGTTTTTCCGCTGCTTTGGTTTTAACGCCAATAAAAAATAATCAAACAACCGCGTCGCCTCCTTTTTCCAGCAGAAAAGTGTTGGAGTTTCGAAGTAAGCAAAAAAATTCATCTGTCGTTTGCCGGTAAGAATGAATATGAAGGCAGGAAAAAGTATGAGATGGATTTCCATGTTTTTGCCTCGAATATCTTCATTTTGTGTAAATGTTTTGCCGTATAATCTGAAACGTGTGCTTTCATTGAATATTCTAGATCTATCATTGAGGCGAAGCAGTGCATTTCACACCCAGGATATAACAGAAGTGATAAGAGTAAGTGAATTCGCAATGGAGATAATCCGATTGTATTATCCCGATCATAAACACAGTACATGTGTGGAGTAAATACGGACTGTTTATTCCTACCAAAAATGATGTTGAGAGCGTTTGTGGTTGAGTCGAACCATGCAGCACCCAATAATCTATTCCATAGAATGCATTGACAACGCACAGACTACAAATCTCCTGTTTTTCTCCCATCATGGTTGCACGCCCGAATAGTTCTGCGTCATTTAGACAAACAGTTTGCAGAATTTGGGTTACCACTGTGGTCACATCTAAGAGGTATGGGCTTGTTGAAAATTTCCCTAAGCATTTGACTTGGTACTAACCTAACTGTGCACATTGGGTTAACTTGTCACCTGAAGCCCACTGCTATCTTGTAAAGTGCAGGAAAGATAAATGCACTTGGTGAGCATCAGGGCTGGCTAGTTCCGTTGCTTTACTGCCTCGTTAATGGATCTGGATAGGGGTAAATTTGTTCATCGAGTTTGGAGTATGTATCCATATAAAAGTCCAGCAGTATGCATACACCTTCCGGTTTTATTGTACCCGTTGTGCTTGAGTTGTTCTGAAGCACGCCTACATACCGACGCACTGTGACACATGCCAACTTACTGTACACTGATGACTTCACCTCATTTGGTGACAAAATCTTTGCAACAAACTGACGGAGCTGAGCGAACAAAACCTCAATTGGTGCAGCGATTCGAACGAATCTGCATAATCAGTGTCTTTGCTCAGTTCAGCACGACTACGGGTTTCTAAAGGTATGGGGCTAAATCTGCTGCTGTTGCGAATACAGCTCAATAAGATATTGATTCAGCATTTAAATGATCTGTGTTTTTTTTGAGTTCACGACCTAGGCGCCATCGCTTGATCTGCCGAGCAGCAGGTTTGTTGCCTAGTATAGCCATCCGGAAAACATTCCTAAATCATGAGAAATAGTTAAGTAGTATTCAGTCGTCTAGAGTTAATGCAGCCCTACGGGTATGATTATACAGCCCTGCATTAATTTTTAGTCTCACTGGTTTCCCCACTTGCATACGAGTATAGCGTGTGTCACTCCGTGAAATGGAAAAAAATCTATCTTTATTCCAAAGTTGTCTTCTGTGTAAGAAGAATTAATCAGTGATACATGCGTATTGAAAGCGCGGTTGGCCCCTCTACCTTGGGACTGATTGTGCCCGTTCTTGAGATGACTATTCATGCTCTGTTATGGAATTAACAATTGCTTCAATTGTGCTCACATTTGTGTGTGTATACACACGATTCTGTTATGTGCAATAGGATGTCATTGTATTCTGAGATCATTCGACATTTGTTCGATTGCGTCCTTTGAGTACTTCCACTTTGTGTAAAAGATGGTTTTAATGGTATTGCTGTGAACCATTTGAAACACTATCCAGATATATTACAAGGACCATCATTTTTTAATAGATTTGTCCGGTTAGTTTTTCTGCGATGCGTCGTTTATTCCGTGAATTGTTTCGTGAACAAGTGTTTCCCGTCTGCTACTGCCACTAGTGATTCACGTTCCATTGTATGCCAACACAACTGTTCCGTTGTTTTGTTCATATCTAGGGCACAACGCTTTGGCGAGCATTAATCACGATCAAACGAGAAAGTCATCCACGTCGACCCAAAGGCGGATTACTGAAGTGACCTAATACTGTCTCGTTCACTGCCAGTACACTAAATTAGATTCTGGATCCAAGTACTAAAATCAAAATGAAGAAAACCTTCGGTAAACGCTTACTTGGGTAGTAGGCTAAAAAGGTAGCTAGGATTCACTTTAAACCAGGAGAGATAAAATTTTAAAAAAAACTGGTAGTACAACTACGTTTTACACAAAGCATTGCTTTATAATTCCAAAATGGGTTACCGTCGACTTCCCCGTCAGTTAGCCCGTAATTGCAAGAAACCAAGTCAGTAAGGCGTAAAGCATCAATGAGGGTGACAGGCGCATACGTTGGTATGACACCTAAAGTCGGGATATCGAAGAATATAAGCCAGTGCGTAGTTTAGGCCCAATAGTTTGCCCTGCTTCCACGCACATTCCTGAAAGATAAATAAAATGGCCGCGTTGAACTACTTGGATTCTGCAAGCTGTGATCTCCGTTTGACTATGGGTGAGCCAGAATCAATTTTAGCCATAAATTAATCCTAAGCCAAACATTCTTAAATAGTTGTATCCGTGTTTCATTGCTATGTCTTGGTACGTCTTTCGGAGTAGATCTTGGTACCTTGAAAGCAGTCCGAATTTTGTTGACCTCCTGACACTGTGTGGTATACCAACTGTCACCTAGTCAAAGCCCTAAACCGGCTTGCGAAACAGATTCACCAGCCACATTGAACAGTGTCTTTGGACTTCAGAATGAATACTATTAGTGTTCTCTTTTGTTAACAAGAAAAAACACTTTATAAATCAGAAGGCGAGAAAGAGACACTAATAAAACCTGTGTTTTGATAGCTTGAGGTTACAACAACTTGGTGCATCTTAATCTAGTTCAATACAATACCAAAAATAGAGAGGTTCAAACAGGGGACTTATCGTTCTGAATGTAAGTTGTAATAATTACACCGAGTTCGTTTGGGTGCAGGTAATCGTGCTTCTTTTGGCAGGATCACTGCTACACGTTCCTGATTGCCCGCGGTTTTTTGGTGTGTTGAGCTGGTCTGTGTTCTGACGCGCGCGCGATGCGTGTGTGTGAGTGCGGAGTTGACCGTGTTGTCTCTTCGTATACGTAGGAAAGTTTGACGTGTGTATAAAACATGAATCGTTCCGGTGCGTACTATACAGGAACTGACTTGTTGTCAGTCAAATTTGCGGGCGGAACGGTGTTTGTCACGTGATTTGTGTGCTCTTGTAGCAGGTAAGTCGCGTGACCTAGTAAACACGCATGTATTGGACAAATTAGGTGAAGTTAGTTGAGGGGATATGGAAATGTCCGCTACAATACCACTGGAGGTTCATCTTGAAGGCTTGTTCGTATACTTGTGTTGTAGAATCATATTAAGTTAGTGTCCCTCAAGATGGTAGACTCTGCAACAGTGGGCCAGGTAATAAAGGGGTCAATGGGATGGTACTGTGCTGAGCTTTGAAGGAAAATAGTGCGGTCGGCCTTGGCCGACAACGTCATATGACTACCTTCTTTCATTCATCCAGGAAATAGAACGTTTCAGAGAAGACCACTCACAGACCGCAGATACGGGAAAATTATCGTCCTGCATTTGTCTAATTTATGTTGCTGAAGATCACCATCACCAGGGTCTACATTTCCAGGAACATCGCAGATCCCTAGCCTGGCACAATAAATCCAAATCCTCGAGGAGTCCGAGGGTGTGCCATGGCAGAAAGTTCGAACATCAGTTACTTCGCCTACGTTTTAAGCTCATCCTTTCTCTTCCGGAAAAGCTGACTAAGACTTTAATCACAATGTGGTCAGTTCTGCATTTTCACTGTACACTTTTACTTTGATGTCTATGATATTGTAGAGTGAATTGCAGTCTGCGTTTGCCTGTTTATACTATGAAACAGCTCGTTGTCAGTAAATCTCAAGATTCAGTCCAAAATTTTCTAGTTGAAATAACGGACAGTTTCCATGAGGTACCTACCTGCACAATGGTGAAACTATTTATTTGGCATTATGAACATTCCAGGAAACCCGAATGGTACAAAGCCAGAGCTTGGCGTTTTCGTTCCATTCACAATTTTCGCAGTTTTTACAGATATGTCCCTCGTTATCCAGGTTTATTGAATAAGGTTGGTTACGCTACATAGTTATGACCAGTTGGTACGCCTGTTAAGTGGTTGGTGTTTTCGGGAAGATATTTAATGAGTTATTGGAGTTTTTACCCTTACGCTACATAGTTATGACCAGTTGGTACTGTTGGTATTGGAGTTGGTATTGGAGTTTTTACCTTGCCAACAGATTTGCCCCTTCGGTCTAACCGGCCTCATGCTGTACAGTGCACTGATAAAATTGAAATACCTATGTCGCAAACTTGTGAGAATTTTCAAATTATCAAGAATGTGGCAATAGCCAGAAGAACATGCTGTGGAATGACGTAATTCGTCCATCGCACCAAAGCGCTTTATCTGAACACGATAGGAAAAAGAAATATTTTCTGACGGGTATAGTGGACAAGTGATTGGGAAGCGCCAATTCACCTCTACTCTGTCGTGGCTCGAGACCACAAGTGATGGAATTGCATATCAAGAGGTTTAAGTGAAAATATCTTACAAGGGTCCGTTGGTGTCAAAAAGAGGAAGATACCGTTATAATGTTACATACTATAATCAGGTTACGCTGGATCGGTGAAAGAAACATATCACGACATTTGTATCCTCTTAGGTACCTGGAGCAATGATATCGGGCTGATCGAGCTAGCAACACCACTTGTTTTCCCGAGTAGAGAGCTCCATTTTGTTCGACTTCCAAAGTCAGAAGACTCGGAAATCGAGGTAGAGTTCGGCCTTTTCATGGGGCTAAAAACAAGCTATTTGTTTGAGGAAACTGCGAAGGAAGAGAGAAATTTTAGAATGCCCGTCTTCGCTCCCATCATTTGCCCAGCGTTTTATTGGCCGGAGAGACAGCAACAAGGGTTCTGCGCTGGTGGCCCTGATCGGGCTCAATTCACGCAGGTAAGTCAGTGAGTAAAATTATCAGTACCGAGTTGGGTAGGTTAGTTCAATACCGAACTTCATTGCCTTAATGCGAACCTTGGTAATAACAGATTCTCCTGGCAAGCAAACCGGGTTGTGTGGGTTCATGTCATAGAAATTATCTTGTTTCTCGGGTTTCAGGGTCTTTCTTTCAACTTAGAAGATAATCCTCGGAAGTTCAATGTGTTGCATACGGAAAATCGCAGAATGCTCACAAAACCTTTAAATGTTGCACTCAAAAAGAAGATTACAACTGACTTATGCAGACTCCCTGCCAGGGGGCATTCACAAGTAGCCTTCAAAGCACAAAAATTAAAAGGTCTGTTTTATTAAGATACCCTGTGTTAAAGGAAACCGGATGAGTCCAACATAAAACTGACATTTCCTGGTCTATGTTGTTGGGCTTGCGAGGGCTATTCTAATCGGAATGCCAGTGACCCAGTTTTTAAAGCGATAACGTTGGAAATTTATCATCCAGAATTTGAAGTTTCCTATGTGCGGGTAACTTTCTCGTCCCGACCCAGTCTGGCAGCAAAACTGGTAAACGCAGTAAGAGAACGAGTTTCCTGTATCCAAAGTGACATTGCCACAAAAGTCCGTTCACAGGGTGGTACAAGTGAACTGCATACCATGCCTCAATATTTGAACTTGGTACGCCTAGTGGAATAACCCTAACAGATGCAATAATTGGAGAAGCAAATAAACTTTCCTGAGTGTTGATTGTTAGAGGCTGACCTGACGTCCGAAATTGTTTCTGGGTCCTTTGGCTGTCACGTTGTAGTTGCGCTTGGAGAGAAAAGACGTGGATCTCTGATGCTGAGGTGTGGACCAGGGTGGACATCCCCGGAAGCGCGAATAACCTAGGGCAGTATCATATGTCGTCACTAGAACAACATACTTCCCCATACTTAGACTCGTGATATCTTGGAAACCATATGTTCACTGTTTGTGGATCTGGAAACACTTGCGCTTTTTTACAAGTGATCTCTGCCAGCACAGAGTTTAACGTCATGGTTTTCACTGACATAAACCATCTCTTAATTTATCCATATAATGCATACCCAGAACATCACACCCGAATTCTATTGGTTTATAATCGATTCCTACCAATCTAGAAGATCCTGTTCGAGCCACGATTGCCCTAGTGCGGTAACTCAGAAAGGCGTCCACGCGAGTGACTATGGTTGTTAGACCAAATGACCCTCTGAAACTGCCAGTTTCAAACAATCAATAGTTGGCAGGCTAAAACGCTATCAGAGAGGATTCGAACCCGGTGATTATTTAATCGAAAATCAACTAACAGTTGAACCAGGACCGGTTGTTCATCAGTACAAATAACTCATACCTAGACAGAATGTAGCGTCAATCATCCTCATCTTACGCGACTCACAGTACGTGCCCACGTGCTTATCCAGCGGTAACTTCCCAGATGGAAGAATATGCAGTGTTTGAAATTTGCCTTCCCTTTCTGAGACCATCATAGATTCTTGATTGTAGTAGTTATACAGGCCATAAAGCTTCCCACTAATTGCCAAGAACCTTTTCCGGCTTTTAGGTTCCCTTTCAGGAGTCTACAGAGACATATATATCCTCAGAGGTCTTGGAGGAAAACTCACGGTATACACATCGCGAAAGGAACGGTAGTGAAAAAGTTACTTGTCTAAATTGGGTTCCAGTGAGCACTGCTAGGTTCTAGAGCAAGCACATAGTGGTCAGTTACCAATAGCCCTCAGGGATAAACAAATGTGACATTCCAACTGGCCAAACAAATTCTTCCAGCCACATTTTCCACCATCTCGAAGCGCTTTTTCTAAACAACGTAACCAGTCCTGCATCAGTTTTGTAAATAGGACACGTAACATCACTGTTTATTTTGTCTATCGTTAACTTAGCTATACATTTTTACTAATAGTCTGTCTGTTTTTACTATCAAAATCAATACGGATGATCCAACAAAGTTTTCAGATGATGCAATGTGCCGAGGGATTTTGTTGAAAATTGATAAATTCCAAAAAAATGTTACCAGCTGGTCCGTGGGTCAAACCAAAACGGCGAGTTACTGCACCATGCTTCTACACGTGTTTGGCTGGAAGCCCAAGTAAGGTAAATTCATAGAAGTGGCAAAATTACTAACGAATGTAGTACCGAGGTCATCAGATGTAGTAACACTACAACAGGTGATACTGGGATGGCATATCATCAAGTCATTCCTTGGTATTCAAGCTCATCTCATTCAGGGAACTATCACAGCCGATCGTCTATGACCTAAGACCATATACTACCTATATTCTTCAGGTGCACTAGCTTTACCGACACGTTGGACTTTCATTTTACTGGTGCATTCCCACAAAAAACTTATTTTATGCAGTGGATATTTTGTTGTCTAGGATTTTCCCCGTATCGATGATTTATATCAGAAGGCTTTATTCTTCCGTTTCAGGGGGATCGTGGTGCAGGGCTCGTTGAATATGCGGGAAGACCATCCACGCTTGTTGGAGTGCTCTCCGAAATAATGCCCTATGGAGCTCTTTATGTTCCAATATTCTTCGTGCGGGTGGCCTCACATTCTGATTGGCTGAACGAAACCATGCAAAGAAACAATCCACAAATATCACGCGAAAGTTTAGAGTTGGATCAACCGAACTAATTAGTACGGGACTTTTGTTATCAAACGTTAGCATATTTAGTGTAAGCGTCGGGTTTAGGTACAGATTCTTGTTAAAAGGAACAATCTGACTAAACAAATTTGCCTTGTGGATCTATGCGCCAGCCTATTCTCATCAGTTGACAGGTACACTTTTCCCGTATACAAACCAAAACTTTTGTTGTATACTGACTGAATGTATATTGAGACTTGTGCTTCCGGTTTTTCTTCCAACGTTTTCAGACGTCCGCGTCGAAATGTCTCGTCATTCACCCAATTAAGTCATCAGCTTAACTTCCCGATGAGGTGTTGTGCTAGGGAGGTTGAATCTTAAGTTTTCAACTAGTCACCGCGTATCACAGAAAAGATTGTCTTGGAGGAAAGAGCAGCGTTTTGCCAATGAAACCCAAAACGGGAACTTGCTAGTTAATCAACATAAACGATGAAATATCTCGTTAGAAGGCGAGAGAATCCGTGAAGTCGGTCAAAGATATTCGCCACTGAGATGGGTTGCAAAAACTAGATAATTCTTTGAAGTCAGCCATTTGGTCAGCCACTTACATTGGAAACATAGCTGGTGTTTCAGTAATCTGTAGCCGGGTATTTATCGATTTGGCCCTCCTTGTTTCGTTCCAGCAACCTCAGGAGTGATTTCTGAACAGGAGATGGGAGAAATACTCATCGTCGAAAACCGGTGTATTCGGTGATTTGTGGATAAGTCTAGTTGATGGAAATGAAATAACGTCGCTGCCCGAACATACTGTTGACTCCATAGGTTACCCAATAGGTTCCTTTGTCGTCGTCAAGTTTGTCGTTTTTTTTTCAGTTGCTTTAAAGCTTCCCAGGTGACAACAAAAATAGTCTGGTTTCTGACTAGGACTGGGATGTCGGAAATCCTACAGTGAATACGACCGCTTGGCTTACTAAACCCCAACTTTGGAACCAAAGTTCAACGTATTTGTTGACATTTCTGTCAATCTCTTGAGATACACCTTCAATTGGATCCGAATGTTTGGGTGGACAAAACTCAAGAAAATGAGGCCAGTATGAAGGAGCCGTCGTACTTTTTGCAAGCCCAAATGAATCGAGGGTTGAAGTGACATTGATTGGTCTAATAAGCGACGAGTGCTGCTCATTGGTGCAACAACACGAACGTAGTCCAAGGACTTGGGTGACATCCATTCGGCACCCATCGCAGTGTGAACCATGTGTAGTATAGATTTTTGCATTGTCTGATTAATTAGTCTAGCTGCTTCAGTACGGGAAAATAGCAGATTAAAGCCGTCCGTTAAGTGCACCGTTTTTTTCGAGGGTTCCCTCCGACGGGGTGCTCTCCATAGTGGGCTTGATATTATTCTTAAAGTTTTCTACTATTTGCTGCCCACTGACGTCAAAAGGTCAGAAGTTTTTCCTCTAATCCGTTTTTGGAACGCGTCTGAATCAACTGTGTATATAAGGAGTAATTGTACTTTGTAGCACCCTAGTATGTGGTCAAGGGAAACCCAAGTAAGCCTCATAGAGAAGATAGCATGAAAAAGATGGAAAACTGGATGCTTTACGCTTGTATGCTGAACCAGCCAGCGGAGACTGGTATTCATGCTGTGTCACCGACAGGTGAGGGACAACAATCAATCACTGTGGCCAGATCTGCTTAACTCAAGCAGATGTTGGCCCTACGTGGTTGATGAATTGTAAAGCAGCCGAGCTTACCAGCGAAAACAGGCACATATGCGATTCCATCAGCGAGTTCTTTTACCACTTCTTCTCTTTGTCGGTCGTTTACGGGCTATGACTCAAATGCGCGAAATCACGAGCTGCGTGTAACGGAGTAGCTCATGTGTATCTTAGCTTTTAAATGAGAAGGATCAGAGATTTTCGTCCACTAGCTTAGGAACACCTCCCGACTTTGTGATTAGTCCATGATTACAGCGCAGCAGGTGTTTTCTTTGTCTAGCTTATCTCGCATCTTTCCGACTTCCTTCCAGTTAACGAAGCAGATAATTTGGGTGTATCCACATCTCAATGCGCGTTTGTTAGCGAGGCTTTGGACGTCTTACCAACAGAGTGTTTGGACATTTCGGAGGAAACTTACTGCAAACTTACTTATACGGACGTGCAGATAATTTAAATAGGCAATGTAGAAGAAGAAGCAGTGCTTTGGGGGTGATAGATTCAAAAGATGAATAACCAGTACCGGGTGTGTTCAGCACAAAAGTAAATATACCTGTGTAACGGTGGGTGCTGAGTAGTATGTTCTCTCATAAATCCACTTCGCGTCTCTTGATAAGTGAGATCTATTACGGAATTTGTGGAGTCGCTCTGTGGCATTTGCTTGCATTCGAGTGACCACCAGTGAATATGCAGAAACGTCTAAGAAGACGCGTTCACGGAGAAGGTGAATATTCAGTTTTGTGAACAAGATGCATATTTCCTGTTCAGTAGATTGTAACTGTTCGGTTGGTGTTTCTCTGATAAACAACTCCGCAGCGAAGACCTCCTTCTTTTCACCTGTAATCTCCAGCTAACAACGCAACACGGAAGCACTTGAAGCAAACTGTCCTCCTAGTTTCGCTTTGGAACAAGACTATTAGGCTATAATTTAAACTGTAGTAGGCGGATACTAAAAAAATCGCCGCCGAAAGGACCGATTTGGTGTTTTGATACTGTTTGCGATCTCACGTCTGATTTTCGCCTTGGTTGACCTGTAACGACAAAATACGTACAGAAATACATGCACAGCCGGACGGGAAACAGAAAACTTGCTGCTAGGAGCTAGGGGGTAGGTAAATTTCAAGCGAGAGAAGAATAACCGGTTAAGTAGCACAGGAAAGCAAAACGTGCAGTACTCGTAACCCATTTATAATCAAAACAAACGGAAAATGTAACCGCGGATGATCAAGAGGATGCCCTAGACCACCTACCTACACAAGAAACATACGGCACAGGTATATTGAAGCCGATTGGCGAGTATAGGGGGCCCCCTAATAGGATTAGGGGACACTCACGAGAAGAGGAAGCAAATTTAAGTGTGTGACCCCATAGTGTGTTTGCCTTGTACAAACTGAACCCATCGGTTTGAACTTCTGATCTTGACATTCACCATGGGTCGGAGTGAACAGCCGAAGAATGAATGTAGTCCTCTGGGCGCGCTTTGGAACCCATGTGACTGACGTCTTCATTCCAAATGCATTTGTCGGTTAGTTAATTGTATGTCCAAGGCAGACAAATCAGCCACTTCAGTTCAGGTTAGGCGTGGTAACTAGTCAACTTTGAGTCCTCTCCTAACCACGTCGGTCAGGAGCTTGAAACTCCCTTTTAGACGATTTCCACAATCATCGCACATCGGTACTGGCAAGGTTGAAATAGCAATCGGAAGCAGATTTCTTATTGGAGCTCCAGAGCTGTCGAATGCGATGTTCCAACCATCCTAATGCATTCTGAATATCCATAAAGTGTGAAGAGAAACATATGCGAATCTCCATTCAAAAACCTTTGGGATGTAATGAAAACCAAACAGGTGGTAAACGAGTTAAAATAATTTGTGATGTTTCGCTGTATCTAGCAAGTTTCCCATCGGTGCTAAATGGCTTGTTTGTGGGGGACAAATGAACATGAGGTGTGAAATACATGCGGAATCAGTGGCCATCCTCACTGTAAATGATTACACCCTCGGTTTAACTACTCGCCAAAACACCCAATTGGTAACTACTTTGAGTGTGCTTCACGTCTGTTGTCAAGAGTATCGCTGTTGCGCACTCAGATCACGTTAATCCACGCCGTGACTGAGGTTTCCGGAGCATGTGTGGCTCTATTTGTTTTTGAGTCTATGTTTGGCTGTACACATATTCTCCCTTGAAAATGTTTACATAATGAAAACTGTTGACTTCGAGAATTTAATTACAGCGACGATATAATGAACCAATAAGGAGTATTAGAAGAGGAAGGAATGAATGTAATGATAATGTATAGTAAATAATCTTTCAAATGTAGCACACTTTCGGTGCCTAGGTGCCATGCTACATGAATGATTGCCGAAACCTAGACAGGAGTGGGAGAGTTGGATTCGAACCGTAGGCTCTGCGTTAAGTAGCTTCGTGCGTAAGCTAATGAGATACCTCGGGCTCAGCAGAGCATTCGCTCAAAAATATTATGCGACGAGAAGTGGCTCAACTCCTGGTCATTTGGAAGCTGCGTAACATCGATATGTTTCGTAATACGTCCACATACACCCATGTAAGTGCCAAGACATTTCCAGTGTTCACAAAATTAATGTATCAAGAGCCAAATCTCCAGCCCCGAGTGACGTAACAAAAAGCGACAAGCTTTTCATCAGATGTGCTGAATATAAGGTGCTAAGTTTTCAGAGCGTCAGGTTTTGTGACTGTTTCTTATCGGAATTAGGGATAACGTAACGGGCACACTTAAAACTGTAAACGAAGAGTGGGTACGAAATACGGAAAGTGCTGAATCTGACAAATTTGGAAGTGTACGGGTGCACACGTGTGTAACAAAAGATATCGCTTATTCAATAGGTGCTGACCGGTAACATGCGCTGAGTGTGTTAGACAGAATATACCCCACGTTTCACACGGATGGTCTCACAGACAAGTCGTTTTCCTGAATTCCTTGCTGTTGTGTATGTGTGTATTACCGAGAAACCGGGAACCGCTGTATATTACAGGACGAAATACATAGGTACATCTTTGATAATCGCCTTGCACTTACAAAATAAGTATTACTCTCAAAAGCCTACGACGACTTAGTTGGTAAACCTAATATTATGTTTCAGTTAGGATAGCCCTTGAAAGTGTCGTGTTAAACACTAACCAAGTTCATGTATCTTGTACAAACGTCAAATGATGAGATGGTTCTGTCTGCAATATATCAGGTGAATTTATGGAGAGTCGCATTGGCCGACCAAAGAGTAGAACGAAGCGATAAAGCAATCATTCTAATTGCTCGTTGTCGATTGTGTGTAGCGACCATGGGGCGATGTACCGTGTGTCTCGGATAGAGGTGACGGGAAGTAGGGATCCAAAACATTAAAAACCTACAAAAATGTGGTAACATTCACTAGCCAAAGCGAATTCGGCACATAAAACAAACTTCAGTAATGCATTTTTAAAAAAACTGAAAATCTATATCAGAGGTCGTCATCATTTTCATCTACGTTGTTCATCTATAAAAGAACATGTGGATTCCAACTGGGATGTTTCGACACCCGACTTAGTTTTGTTTTCCCAGCCAATGGCTCAGTTTGGACAAATACCATAACTAAAACTCTTGGGAAGTCGGTTTTTATTCGCAAAAGTCCTTCATGTACACTGTGTGCATCGGTCTATTTGAAGAACAGCATTCTTTATTTTCACGAAGTCGAGGCAAAATGTACGGCGCGATGGCACAGACTTTCAGTCATAATTACTTGGAGGTTTCCGGAGTACGGGCAGTGTCAGAGACGCACAAATCTTGATCGGCATTATTCACAAATGTGTTAAATATAAAAACCAAAAAAAATTTCATAACGAGGAGTAGGTTCTGTGAAACAATCGGTGTATGACGCTGCGGTTGAGTACAGTCGCCGCTGCGGGAATTTAAATTCAAGTCATCGAAATGTAATTTGAGAGGATCTTTCACACCACCATCTCTCAATTTGCCAACTATCTTGCTTCTCTTAAGTGCCTTGTGCTTGTTGAAATACTTCAGCTCTTCGCAAAGTGTTCATAATGAAACACCTTTTGTGAGGACACTGGAGTTACTGGTTTAATATGGTTTGTCGGAAGATTCTTTGCTATGGGATTTTGGATTTGACTATTCAACGCCATTTGAGGGTGACGAAAAACTCACTTATTGAATGTTTCTAGTCGTTCAGACGTGTTTCTTATGAATAATACGTTGTTAAGGACAGCTATTTTTTTCTAAATCTAACGCAGCTGCATTTAAGGACACATGCACATATCTGTAAGTTTTTTTCGATGAAATGAACCAATGATGACAAATTTTTCTTGAATGTATGTGAATCCAAGAGTACCCTTTAGCTTCCACTGGAGGTATCGTTCCCGCAGCAAAGTTCCCTTAGTCAAGTTGTGACTGAGAGATATGTTGATGTGAACTTCCACAAGACAGGCATGTCCTTGGAGATGAAATATAGTGTGATTTATCGTATACTACTTGTCGCTGACTTCCGCACTGCCAAGAAACTCTTTTTTTCGGAAAAACTCACCGACATATTAATCACCTAGCTTAACTTTTGATTTTACCAAAAGGGTCTGGGAAAATAATCAGTGAAGACAAGATGCAGTCAGCTTACATGATTTGACTTTTTGGGCAGTGGGTATTTCGATCATCAGGAGTAATTCAAGCCTGTACTCAGGTTTCTGAGTCAAGTCATACTTTCAGGAGAAGGTCCAGACATGAAATACAAAAGGATATCTCGATTTTCGACGCTTTGCTTGTTAAGCTTCCCCCATAGTGTTTTCTTTCTGAGTCGTGCAGTGCGTTAGTCTTAAATGAAGCGAGATCTGAAAACAGTTAATTTTAAATGAAGAACTCCATTTTATAGTGAGAAACACTGAGTGGTAGCGGAGCGCTCTGAACTGCTCACAATAATGGCGCTACAAGCGCAAGGTAGTTGTCATTCCTACCCAAATGAGAGCATGCTTACCATCTGGAGGAAGTATTCTCCGAGTCAGTTTGCAGACAATAAATAACGCAGCTTTGTGCAGTAAAACTTGGAATGATGCCGATGAAGCGGCTGAGCAGTCGACAAAACGCTTTGCTTCGTTACTTTGAAGGAGTTTGGAAATTGTGCTACTGGTTAAATAATTGTCATGTAGTTTGCTGCTATATTCATTATGCGGCACCTTCATGAAACCATAGGCGATAGGGGAATGGGAAAATTGGTACAGAATTTCGCAGTGTGGGTTGTTTTCACGATGCAACTGGACTAACAGATAGACGTTCACGTAGACTACCTCCTACCATACCAACCTATGTATGTATTTATCCAAAACGGTGCAATTTGGGTTCAAGTAGAACATAAGGTTGATGGAAACTCGGGGACAGCGCCTACCTGATAAGCCCCAAGAAGGGCGAAACCGGTCGTGGGCCGTCGAAGTGCTTTCAGCAACCTTGTGAGTAGTTTGTTTTATGAAAATATACTGCGATATCTCGAATATCCTACCAACTGAAACATGAGGCTGCCTGTGTGCAGCACATTCAGTTGCAGAAATCGATGAGACGTTTCTCTCTTTTTTCTCATATTCTCCCGTTACCCTTTTACACTCGTCGTTTGCATTCACTTTTTAAGTTTCCGACCATGCTCTTCAAATAAATGACAATATTGTTCACGGGCTGTTTATGATATGGTCAATTGCCACTGACTGCGCACGTTACCTGACAGAAAACACACAAACGACTATAGACTGCATAGTTTACATGGTAGTAGTTTTGTTGGCTTTCCAGTAAAACTACGAAATTGACACTTCAACCAAGAGCATCTGGTTGTTCGTTTATCCCCAAATCACTTGGAGTCTACGAAGTGAGAAGCCTGACCATCGAACATAATAGCGCCTTTTCGCTTAGAGTAAACAAGTCATCGATCAGTCACGTGAATATGTGATTAGTTTATAGGTCATTTGTGAACAAATACTGTTCGTCTACTGACTCTAAACCAATGATTTGTAAGCACTGAAGGTTCATGTGTTTACAACGGCGTCCTCGTCAGTTGTCTGAACATACTCCAGAGTAAGTTCTTACTGAGTGCCTCGTCGGCATACCAGTTTCGTTCCCACGATATTTTCACCCGTAGGGTAACGGAAACTGTTCAGTTGTGTAATTATATACTGTAGTGATTATAGACACAAAACTGGAATTACCGTGACAGTGTCGTGCAGTGTTATCAGTATCTGTGTTGACCACTTGCTAGGAAGTCTAAATTTCAAAAAAAAACATACGATTTAACGGATGCCACCACTTCGGCCTGTGGACAAAATTAGCTACGGTGGCTAGAAAAATTTCCGCGTAGTTTAGATTACTATTGTTTCCACCGCTTTGCAAAACATTGTAAGAAATGAATATATGAATCCAGTAGGACTTCGCGAATACTCACAAATGCGATAGACAAACAAAAGTTTCGTGACAGGTACGGGTGTGACAGGTATGTGGGTACTATCGGACCTCACTAGATCCTCATTCGCTATACCGATGGAATACTTGTATAGACCCAGTTTCCCTGAGTATCTGTCATCGAGCAAATGACAACCGCGTCTGTGAGCGGTCTTGTTTGGCCCGCAAATTTGGACTGAATTATCGGCCGTCAAAACAGACGAGCAGGACAGAGGTTCGATCTTGGGTTCATAGCCTAGCAAACTCCCATACGGTTTATAAAGCCACGAAGGCTAAAATGGGTAATTTGGAAACAGTTTGCACTGGGGAAATACGCTCATTTGCAAATCATCTTGGTTTTCACAAGAGACTCAACTGAATCTCTCGTTTATGGTATTCTACAACTGAATGTACTGCACACAGGCCGCCTCATTGATTCAGTTGGCACGATATTCGAGAAATCGCAGTATATTTTCATAAAGGAGACTACTCACAAGGTTGCTGTCGAAGAGTTTTCAGCAAGGTTAAAGTAAAGAGAGTGGCCATCGCCAGTGAGAGGGTAAGAAATTACCAAGATACACTCATTTGCAAACAAATTTGGTTTTGCGAGAGACTCACCTGGAACCCAGCTGAATCTTTCGTTTGTGATGTTTCAGGGCAACTGAATGTGTTGAACCAGGCCACTTCATGTTTCATTTGCTACGATATTCGAGATGTCGCGATACATGGAAAGGGTAAGAAATTGTTTTTCCTACGTTGCTTTCTGTGTTGACAACTCTAATGTCGTTACTGGTTCCAAAAAGGGAGACTTTCTCATAAAGATTACAAACGGTGATTCACAAATATCGCTAAAATACAAACAATGAAAACCACGACATCCGAATGTGTCGACTTATATCAACGTCATTCGGGGCAGTGAGTTTTAGTTTCTGGACGACCTTGCATTAGGGTTTCCTCACATTGTATATGATATAATATAATAATATATATAATATAGTATAATATATATTACATTATATATTGTATATTGTATTATACATTACGGAGGGAGGTAACTCTAACGACTATCATGAGGTGTATTCTGACTGACTGACTTTCATCTAACAAATATCATGTGTAGGCCGTAAAAAACGATTCGAACCAAGGGTGTATGTAAGAGCAGACCTCACTGTCTCCCATTTTCATTGGTGTTTCAGAAACATGAATAAGATCGCATGTTTTCTATTAATCGCACTGGCTCCTCGTAAGTGTTCCTGTCTACCAAACTGTGAATTCAAGTCTCACCACAAGTGCATTTTTATCACAAGCTAAAAAACTAATTTTCTCTTGTGTTTTCCAAAGCACACATTCCTGGCGACAATTTTGTGGGTGTGAAGAAAGGAGAATGTCCGTGGGCGGTAAGAGTTCTAAAACTTGGTGGCGATGGCAAAATCACAGTTTTCACGGGCAGTCTTATTGACCCATCATGGATTCTGACTTCCGCATCGTGCTGTACGCAGTCAGAATCTAACCAGTACAGGTGGAAAGTATTGTTGAGCGCCACTTGCGTAAGTTCAATTTAGGATTCTATTGGGCCTTGTACGAAGGTGCCATAGTCAGAACAACGAACCACACAAACAACTTAATCCTCTTCTACTCAACAGCAAACCATAGTAGCTTCAGGGTAAGTCCGACAAAAAGAGAACCCAGTAACTTGTTGTCGCCCGTTCGGTCATGTGAATTCAGCATGTTCACTTTTGCATAGGGGCTTGTCTGTTTATTTATGAAGGTTGGAACCAACAACACAGGGTCCACGTCGCGCATCAAAGTTATTGGATAATTTTTGTTTTTCTCACCTGACTCTAATAAGGAAGAACGAAATGGGGATAATTTTGCTCAGCAAACGAAAGGTAGGTTTAGTGACCGAACCTGGAATGGAGGCAATCATGACATAGGATCATAGCTAGATAGTGTACGAATTTTCGACCTCATTTGGGCGTTATAGCTTTTGAAACTCGAGGTTTGGGATAGACTTCTGTATGTGTCACCACAATGGACTTATCTTGCATGATAATCAGTACAGATTTGCCTCTAGATTTCATCATGAAGATATGTAAAAAGTTTTTTTTGTCTCCATCAGTAGTACTGAGTGATTTCTCAAAGTCCATGGATAACCTACTAAGGGTTGGAGTGGCCTCAGATAGACTTGGTGATCGGGGTGTAATGTCAACCAAATTGTTGTACAAGTCGGGAACATATTAAATATGATTTCGATCAGATTTCGTTCATCTGATGGAAGTGGAGACAGTGGTGGGTTTCCTCAGAATCGTAAACAATTGTACCACAGCATTGCGGAGCGATCTGCCGAGGTCTAGAGACCAACCACCCAAAATATCTAGGCAAATTACTTTGTTTGATGTATTTGGTAATTTGACTGGCTGTGTTTCCTGGGTTATATCTATTCATTCAACGCACTTATTGTAACCACCCGATTATTTCAATTCATTCCGTTCCATCAATAAATTCTGAAATTGTGGCTTACAATTGTGGCCTTACGATTTTCCCATGTACTGTGCGTTGAATAATGGCCATTAAAATAGTCCACACCAGCATTTCACACTGGGTTTCTTCATTCCAGTCTTGGAAAACGATTAGTTCATTCGTTCCAGGCAATAGTTTTCAATTTCCACATTACATTTTGCTCTTATTCGACCGCGACATCTGTCTGTGTAGCAGTTCGTAATGGATACATAATATCCTTTCTATTCAGAATAGAGCTGGATGTATTGCATTGCATTCCAAAACCCGAATACAACATCAAAGATAAAAGTGAGTGAATAGTGTTCATCGCTTGTTTATGTCCCATTTTCGAGAGTTTTCCGAAGTCTGTTTTGCCCTAATCCATTCCTGTGGATTTTCACACATGAAAGCGTTTGAATCATGTACGGAATGGAGGTACAACGCAGCCTGACTCAGTACTACTTATGTAAAGCCTTTGTAAGCATTTCAGCACCCTAACAAGTTTAATCGAATAGACCTAGTCTCAGAGTTTCCATAAATCCCATTTTCTGTCTAAACAGTAAATTATCGGAGTTTTACACACTATGGTATAGTATCTTGATGTGAACGATAGGCTCAACTGAGTATCAGTTGAATATCTTTCCAAAGGAAGATGAGGCGGTCCGCGTGGAGATTATCTTGAACGGTTATCCATAGTTGTTTTGGTCTCGTCCACGTCATGTTGAAGCTGCATGTAGTTACTCTCGCACCACATTTTCTTTATAAGAAACTCCTCTTTGAACAATATTCCAAGTCATACCTATTTTCATTCCTGCATATAAGATGCTCCTCTCGAATGAAAAAAATCCATGAAGGAACACTGATGACTTCTATTACTTGCCAGTTACTTTCTTCTGTCATCAGATGAAAGACATTCAGACAGAATCATCAACTTTTGACCAGCTAACTGTTACGTACGTTTTCCCAACATACTTATTTTCATATCCCGGCATGACCATTCAGGTTAGTCCATACCATATTGAGGAAACACTGAACTCCCGTTAGAACACATCAAAACTGTCTCCTCTTGGCCAGGCAGAATCTGATATCGGATCTTGTGTGATGATCTCGTTACCACTATCCCATTGGCATACGCGTACTATTACGCTTAGATATACAAGCGTGCTCGTACTTGAATGAGACATCCGGTTTGCCTGACGAGTCCATATCCATCAACTGATCTGCTCTGTATCATTTGGTGAGGAACTGCAAAGCAGTTTGAATAAAAAACAGTTAGAATGATTTAGCGGACAATGAAGCTGATGCAACTAAACAAGAGGTTCGTTGATGAATGTTCAAGAGTTTTCAGCAAACTGCGGTTCTTGAGTCAGCAAGGTGCTTTTAACATTTTACGGAGTGATCACAACTTTAGTCTACTGGGCCATCAAATAAGACAAGTGACAAACCAGTCATCGGATACGCTTCTTAGAAAGATGGGGTCACGATGACACCAAACCATAGATGGTAGGATTTCGATTCGGTGTAGAAACCAATGAGAGTTGCGCTCAAGGCTATCGAACTTACCTCTTCAAAAAGAAGAAAGTGCTCAACACAATGTTTCGAACAAAAATCAGCACTCTTAGTGTCGTCCAACTGTATGCAGCTCTACGCTCATTTACTGGAACACTCGGCGCAGTACGCATTATACACCATTATACATCATTTAAATTCAGAAGTTTTCCTAACCGACAGCATCCAGAGATGGTTTCTAGACGAGGCCGTCCTCTAGTGTTCAGTCAATGAAGACCATGTTGAATTTGGGTGAAACACTTCGTAACGCTGGTATAGCCTTCCTTGATCCACCGATCCTGCTGAATCGAGTGACGCTTGAATTGCAAAAATTGGTAATAAATAGTGATCTTGAAAATACTTGAACACACAGATAGCAGTCATTGCATCGCCAGTCAAACTCCGTCAAGCAAAAAGTGCATTTTACCGGTCAAAAAAGGGTATGCACGAAGGGCAGCCCAGTCTGTATTTGGGTTGGTCCCCATTTAGCGGGTCCATAATGTCCAGTATACGAATAAACGGGGATAAGAGCGGGATGAAACTCTCAAAACAATCGGCCAGCGTTGTTCTCCTTGGCTGTTCATAGACCCATAGCCTGTTTGTGGAGACCAACCTTGCCAGCCCCGAGAATCAGCGTTTAGACAAACTTCATTGTAGCTTCACAGGCATCGAAGCTTGAAGTTAATTTCTCATGCAAACCAGACCGTACATCATCATTAAGAGTGTCGAAATCTGGTTGCTATTTATAAAGACCAATAAGACATGCGAGTCACCCTATGTGTACATCAGCAGCATCGTTCTGTTCGGTAAAGAATACCCTCGAAAACGACCGTTTATTTTAACCACCTGGGGGGAAAGTCACGAGGCCAGCGACCGGAGTACCTGAGATTCAATAGGATGGTAATACGTACATGAGTAAAACAGATCTTAAGTCGAATCGACTAACGACAAAGATCCTTCAACCTTCATTTCATTTGCTCTTAAGTGACTTTTTAGTCTCTCGAGGTTTTTTAAGGTAAGAGAACAACAAGCTTAAGAATCTGACAAGCTATTGTCACACTCCCTTGGTTTGGAAGATGCTGTGTTTAAATTTCCCCCAAAGCGTCGATAACATTTCCCAAAACGTAAGTTCTATAATGGACCACTGAATTTGAACGGTTTGTGAAATACTCGAATTCTTTAGACAGATTTACAGTTCTCTTGCCATGTTGGATCTGAAGCTTTATGGTCAATTAATGGAATTGACTGGAAAAACAGTTACGTTAATAGCACACCAGTTCGTAACCGACTACTACTGGACAAACCAAGGAAAAGTACTGGCCGACATCGGTTGCGAAGTTAAAGGTTGGATGATTTCAAAATAATCTGCTTTCTCGAACACATTCCAATAAGATTGCAGGAAAATGTTTGTTTATTTTTGTCACTGACTTAGCATCAGTGCTACCGAGACCGTACTTCAGTTTGAAGGTGATGAAATCAGATATCCTGTACACTCAAAGGTCTTTACGTGCGGATAGTTTTTGTACTGAAAATTGACAACTCAATGCAAAAAAGCGAAAGTTTCGAAAGCTCATTGCCAATGTTCTTGTTTGACAGAAATAATTTGCTCCAAATATACTTTCTTCTTCAGAAACATGGGGCAATGATATCGGACTGGTTCAGCTGAAGACCGCGGTTAGAGGCAAAAATATTCATTTAGCAAAACTGCCAAAAGCTAAGGACGAAGCAATTGAAAGGCTGGGGCAAATGGGTGGATACGCACCTTCAGGAATGGCGCAAGCGTCAAACAAATTCGTCAAACCAGTCGAAATGCCCGTTTATCCATCTGGTATATGTCCTGCATTTTACTGGTTAGGAAGACAAGGATATGGGTTTTGCGCCGGAAATCGTCAAGCAGCAGATGTTACACAGGTACTCAAAACTGAGCTCGAATATTAAGGTATCTTAAATAATGTAGAACCAACAAGATCGCTATGAACTAAGCTGTGGTTGCTTCTTTCGTTGCAGAGCGATCTTGGTGCGGGATTTGTTATCATGAGAAAACCGAGGGTTATTGGAGTGGTCTCCGAAATTATGCCACGTGGAGTTTTGTACAGTCCAGTGTATATGGTTAAAGTTTGGTCTCACCTGGACTGGTTGACAAAAACTATGAATTCTCAACATGAGTCGACAGACGCCCTCTGATTGAGCCAAATGAAGAAACTTCCTCCATGTTTGTATTCGTTTCGAAACAGTCATATTTTCGAATTTTTTCTCATTTTTACTTCATATGTTAAAACAACGACAGTTGCATTTTACTCGGTCCCATTTTTGTTCCAATCAAGCCTTCTGGGTAAACATATAAGTGTTAGCCTAAATTTCTTTGATTGGCTTGTCGGCAGTGAGCGATAATGCCAAGTTTCGAATTTGCAAGACCTCATTTTTTTGAATTTTATACAAGGGCGGGTTTTAAATCAAAGCAACTTAAGGAAAAGGTGAAAACAATAGGATAACGAGACAGGAGTGAAGATGTACTTGATATTTGTACGCTGACAAGCCAAAAACAAACTAGGTTTTCTAACATACTATGTGATAAACGCAATCGTCTCTAGCCATCTTTTCAAAAGATAACTCAGATCATTCAGGCAATAGGTGATATCGGTCTTATGGGACTGCATAATGTTGTAAAATGCCACTTCGGCCACAAAACTCATTGAGGCATATCAGTGGGACCCGGCTGTCTTACCAGACAATACTTGATTTATAGAGACAAGTTAGCACAATTTGGCTTTAAATGAAATTTACTTGATCAAGCATCTTCATCATCACCATCGTCAGCTTTAATAACCGCGTACTTGTCGTACAAAGATATAGTTAGTTTAGTTGAATCAGGTTAAGTTGGAAATGTAACGGAATATAGGCAGCTCGGTTTCGCTGCTTGGCTGCTGGTCTGTACGCCGAGATTGGCAGTTGGATAGCAGACGTTTCCTCGTCAATCGATGTGCTATTTTCGATGCACAGCATTGACGATCCCATCTAAATTTGTGATGAAACTCTTACAGTTTCCAAGCTGGACGAACAGACAAGCACCCCAGCTGCCGAGATGTATTCATCCATTAACAGCAATTGGACCATGAGATGCCTGTGCACAGTTGGACAAGCACAGTCGGTCCACGTGCGTCCAGCGTGTGCTGGTGGCATGGCGGTAGCGCGCTGGCCTAGTGTGCTCGGAGTCTAAATATTGGCACGGTTAAGGGTTCTAATATGAACAAAACTTATGTCCAGTGTTCCTTCCCATTGTTGTGAACTCATAGCAGTAAATGCGCTAGGATAGGAGGAGGAATGTTGATCCAAGGGTGAATTCTACAAAAATTGCAATCACTTACATCGGATCCATGTCCGCTGACTGATCTCCGGGGATTTGTGATGTTGCCTTGCATTTTAACACAGATTTGTTAACATCAAACCAACACTACTAATCTTTCTTCAAATAGTGTCTGGAATCTAGCTAACTCTCGCAAATATTTTGGCTCGGTGATATTAGGTCATGTGAAAACGATGTTTCGGGACGTTAGTTTCTTGGAATACCACATGCTGAGAAGCAGTACTTAAAAGTTCACATCCCGGAAAACAACGTGCTCCGTGAAGTATATACTGGAACACTATACAATGGACGTTTAACTCGGAGGCATCTCAGCTAGAATTTTTTTATAACTCATGGGTTTCTAGAATCAGGACTTTTCGAGCACGGGCTAGCATCACTTAATGTGTGGATGTAACACAATACCTAAGGGTAGCCGAAATCCCTCTGACAGCTCCCGAACGGTTCCGCCCTTTATTTGGCTTATCGGGTTTCCTTCAATTTTGTGCACTTATGGTTGATGTAGAGTACAAAGTTGATGGGAGCCCAGGGTAGCCGAAATCCCTCTGACAGCTCCCGACCGGTTCCGCCCTTTATTTGGCTTATCGGATTTTCTTCAATTTTGTGCACTTATGGTTGATGTGGAGCAAAAAGTTGACGGTAGCCCATAGAGTGAGCCTTCCTGATGAACACCAAGCTAGACACGACAGGTCGTGGGTTTTCGAAGAATTTCCAGCAACCTAGCAAGTAATGTGTTATGTTTATAAAGTGTATTGCGATATCTCGGAATATCTCACCAAGTTAAGCATGAGACTGCCCGGTGCATCACACTCAGTTGAAGAATTACATCGTAAAAGAGAGCTTCAGTTGGGATTCATGTGAGTCTCCCGTGTTAACCAAATGGTTATGCAAACGGGTGTAATATTTATTTATTTATTCTTTTAAAATATAATTGAATCCCACCCACGGTGCAACTTGGTTTGTCGGCGATAATGCTCCTTTGTAATTTTACTTCTGGTTCTCAAGGCCTCGTTACGGTCACGTTATTACGTGCTACGAAGTAGGGTCGCTTGGAAAGGGCATAGGGAACGTGGTCAGGTGAACCTAACGGGTCAAAATGTGTGGCCAGGATGTGGACCGTGTGGATCGTTTTTTCGGTAAACTTGCAGTTGTGTCCCAAATAAAATATCCAGAAAATTGTGGCAGAAACAAGAGAATATTTTTCATAGATAGAGCTGTAATGAAGCTGGCCCATACCGGTTGTCCATCCAGTGGGCAAGGTTGTTGCAATCTCTGCGATTTTCAAATGGCCAAGGCGACAGTGAGTAAGTGTCTTAGGTATCTCAGTCGGTAGTGTGTCGATGTGATGTGTTGGGGATCAGTGGTTTGGAACCTATATGTCTGTATTTTGTGAGTAGCTGCTTATTTATCTATTTTCACAGATACTGCCATTGGGATACCATCTCTGACAGGTGTACACATTGTAGTCCTATTTCAAGTGTGGTGTTCGTGATAGTCGCTTTTATAACTGAAACACAACTCAAGACCTCAGAGACTACGGTTATAAGAAAGACATCGAGCAAACCCAGGAGGAAGCCATGGTCTGAATAATGATTAACAAACTGTCTGTTATCACTGTGTAAAAAGAAATACATAGCTTACATTTCATCAACATAAACCAGTCAAAGATAACCGATCCTTTCTAGATTGAGATAAAAGGGCATCTGACCAACGCCCTCCTCCGTTTTATAGACTTCAGTGAGGGGTGTTTTTTCCGTTGAACCCTTGTCTCCTCAGCCACGTTAAAAACTGCGTTTGCTTGCTATCCACTGACAAATAAGTCCTTATTAATGATGGCCTATGATAAGCAAATCCAAGGTTTATTGTTGAAAAGTAACCATCTGCTCATGTCCTCAAAAGAACTCAACTGTAGGCATCACGAAACATAACATAAGGTCAGCTGAAACAGCAAACGGCGCTCTGTACGTGAAGTATGGACAAGCGATGCCGTTATTCCATCTTGTCAATCTATGAGTGGATGCTCTAGACCAAAAACAAATTATTCATGTTAAGAGCTCACCTTAACTGGGTGCCAAGAATTAATTTTGGATTGACCTGACCGAAACGTATTGCTATTGCAAACAACCAACACCAATGTTGGTACTTGCTTGTTGTTTTTTTGATATCTCTAGTTAACGAACACACTAAATGAAGAATTGTCTTTTTGCGCTGTTTACTAGCTTGATGCGTTCCGGCACAGACAAATTGACTTTGCATAAATAAGTCGGGTAGAAGCAAAGGACTGAAGCTGCATTTCAGGTGTAGAAGCCCCAAGGACTATCGCCCCAAGGAATGGTGATAATTTAGTTTAAACGGAGCTCTGCTGAGGCTTTTACGCGGTGGCCACATGATGCGGATCTTTTGATCTAGATTAGTGACGCCATATCCTCTCTGGATATGAGTTAATCAAACCACTGACCAGCAGGTCATGACTGAGGAGTAAGTGTTCAAACATCCTGAGATGCGCACTACTGATTAATCCCAACAAGGATAAAACTGTTAGATAGCTTCTGTCAGCTTTTCATCATACATCTAATTAGCCTACAGAACGAAACCTCCATTTAAATCCCCAAGTCTCCTCACACTATAGACAGTTCATTTTGTTTACGTGGTGGGCGGTTTGATCACGGAGCGCAACTATGCAATTTTGCGAAAAAGAAACCTGTAAATTCATTGAAAACGAACTGACCTCTAGCAAATGCACATAGAACTGGACCTATCTGATGGAAAGCCTGGAAAGACAGTTCCAATTGTCACATTTTTTTCCTAATCGACACTGCGGAATCTGCCGTCATACGGTCTTCACACACACGGTTTTTTGCCTGAGGAACAAACACAGTACAGTGGCTGACATCCCAGTGGGGTCCGCGGTTACATTCTGGCTACTATTTTCGCTACTCATTAGTAGTTAAAAGTTACGCAGATCGGCTCGAGTCCGTGCTGATGGCTTTGTGAACCACAATATAGTCCACAGAACATGAACCATGAACATATCTGCGATATGCTTCAACTGGATGCGATGCAAAAAGTTCACCATCCCTTTTGGGTTGTCACAAAACACGAGGTATCTGTGCACATTTTCTGGACGCAATATATTGAAACTTTTCAACAATCAACGACCAGTTTTATAGTTCCTGAGGGTCTCAGGATAAGTTTTTCATTCCAAATAATACATCGATATTTCAAATGTTGTACTGGCTGAAACGTGAGATGATCCTTCTGTAGTATAATTGGTTGAGGGACATCATCAAGAAATAAGTCTGCTTGGATTCTGTTGAGTTTTCGTTTAACTCAAACTTAATTTGTAATCGGGTGTATTACGCCGACTGCTTATAGTCTGATGTTTGAGTGAAACATACGGTTGGTAGGAATTCCGAGACTCCGCCCTGCCTAATGAGTTCAAAGCAGGACGAAACCGACAGTACGCTGTGAGAGAGCCTTGAACAAACTAGTAAATATTACGTCATATTACTTAAAAAGTACACATGATTTTATGGCAGCCTATTTTCAAAATAATAATCTGATTTTATTCCCTGCATGGAATATGGGAAAGTTGTGAATGGTCGACTTTTGTATCGCCATATTTTCTGTACTTAACATGCCGAATCGGCTTCGTGGCTCAGAATATTTTTCATCCCACTTGAGGCTCGATACTACTTAGTGTCTCTTTCCACAAAATGAATACTGTTTAGTTCAGGCAAGTAGATAGAACGACGTTCGGTATAACCTCGTGACCAAGTTGTCCGAAAACAAGGTTTTCCAACTGAGACCTCAAGAAAAGGCAGCGTTTCACCAGAAGACTTCAAATTTGAGGTTCTACAACACTCAGCGCCAGTGATAAAACCCCTGAGTTCGTTAGTTTAGTAAAAACCCTTGATTATTGATAAGTTTTCGAATTCTTGTTTCACAGATATCAAAGCTAACTCTCAGGAAATGTCTTTGTCCCTTTTCATCCGATGCATTAGCCTCTGGTTTTTTCTGTTATCAGTTGTTAATAATTACAGTTCATTCCAGACACTGCCGTCATTCGACCCGCCTGTAACCACATACTCCAGACTGCTCGCGTGGGCGCTTGAGCGTCAAGAACAACGTTGACTAACAAAAGCGCAGGTCCGAAACTGAGCGAGCAGATGATACACTCATCCAGAATTCATGGACACGATATCACTGTATAGAAATACATCGTATTTTAGGTCTGGGGAATCTTTGCAGCGTATACGTATTCGTTGCAAAGACAAGATTCAAACACCGTATTCCGCTCATCAAGCGATCGGACTCTGGTCCTTTTAGCTGGATGTTGACAAGACAGTAGTGAGCACCGTAAACCCATAGCGCGTGTCCTGAGAACATCGAATGAGCGATACAAAGTAACTGCTTTCCTAACTGATTGGTTGATTCGGCTGCACCAGTTGAGTTGACTCGGCTTGCATGTAATCTGTAGGTAAGGTGATCGACTGTGTCGCTGTGACCTGTTTGCTTGGGCTGGATGATAGCACAAGTTAGACAGTGCATGACCTGTAGGTGAAGCACTGAAAACTGTAACGAACGACTTTGATTGCTGTGGTGAGTGTCATCTGTAGGGCTGGTGTATAGGGCAAATCACACAGAGTTCAGCGACATTGTGGTCTTGGAAACAACCAACCTCTCTCCCTCCCGCCCCCAAAATTTCATTCATTTCCCTGTCATTAGCTGTAGCGACTTGATCACCGTATCCACCTGAATGGTTCACGTTTGTCAAACTGAGGTAGAATGAATCCGATATAATGAATATTTCCAAGGTAGAGTTCAATCGCTCCACAAGCGGAAAGCTTTAGACAGACGACGGCAAGCCGTCCGATCAATATGCTACAATGTGCACGTTTCATGTTTTATGACTGGTATTGTACCAGATCTAGACAAGATTATGGGGAAAGATACTGGATTTGCAGTGTGGCGCGCGAATCTCGGTTACCCATGTAAGCAATAATAAAGGGTATCAACACCACATTCAGAGAGTTTCTCACATCACGCGATTCCCTGAGCCTCTGGTTTGGTAGTAGGAACATGGATGGCTCCATGTTCCCTAAAATTAAGAGTATCCGCTAGTCTTGCTTCACCCAACAGTACATTGTCGTCAGGATGTTGTGCAGAGGACTTTGGTTCAGAATTCTAATTGTCTTTCTGTCTATGTTTTTAACACCCTCATAGAATGTTGCTCCGCAGACAACCTTGAAGTACACAATGGGGGGCACTTCTATGCATCACCGTTTGTTGAATGACTGCATTACTGGTTTGCTTTATACGATGCATGCACCAGTGCAGTATACGGCTTCTAATTCCTTTCCACCTTTCAATGTTATCTTTTAACCTTTCTTCCAGACCACTTGAGCATTCCTTTTATGTGGATCGAGGCTGTAGACTAGCCAATCACATGTGTACGGTGTATCTACCTACTGCATCTTATTCCTTAAATCTGTCGCTTTCCGTCCGCTATTCAAACCCCGCCTCTCGTCTTTCGTGCAGCTTTTGGCGTTTGATTTTTTTTTGCTGCGAATTCTCCGGAGTACGTTTCAGCTAAATTGTCGATTGATATTCGCTGTACTTCGGAAACTCGAACGGAAAGGATCGAGTACACTTACCGGTTTATGGCACCCTCGTCATCTACGTGCTAACAGCTACCCAATTTGTGATTCTGGGGTTAGTGTGGCCCTCTGCCGTGGAGTTGTTTATTAGAAAACACCAACTAAACAGTTGCAAACTACCGGACATGAAAGTTAACATCTCATGTGCATCTTATTTATAAAAACCGTATATCCGTCTTCCTCTCGAACCTTCCTGGGTATTCACTGACTATCAAGCAATTGTAAACGAATGCTACAAAGCGGTCCCACAAATTACGTAATAAACTCCAACTTCCGACAGACGCGAAGCGAAGTTACGAATAAACAGGTCACTCGCATTCCTCAACAGTGGTATCTACCGCTACACTAGTATAGCCGTGAACTAACCGGTCTTACGTTCACCAAGAAGGGTTCAGATATAAATCTAACAGCTAGTGACTTCAGTGCAAAGTTAGAATGCTTAGTTCGATAGACTGAGATCTTAGTGGGGCATTTCAATCATAATTCAAACGTAATGCTAATTTGTGCTGACTAGTTTCTTCTCGGTAGTACATTGTTCAGACACAAAGCATGCCTTTGTCCTGCATAACACTATTCTACTGATGACAAACCACGGAGCCAAAGTGATTATATCACCCTCATCTGAAGAAGATGCTGGTGAATCCAGGAGTGCATGGGTTGAGTTGCAACCAGTATGAGGTGATCCAAGATAGCGTTGGAAGTACAATATACGTGTATGTATACATGTTTATTGAAGTTGCATCGCTGTCACCTTCGAATTGCGTCAGGAGCGCCACACATACAGCCGATTAACAACAGCTGTTTCTGTTGTTTTCGAATGGGTCTTTCCTCCGTATACAAAATAGCACGTCAAAGCATATTCCAGCAGAGGGTAGTGCACTACTTACTCTAAAGCCTCGGCTCGAATCAGCGTTTACGACAAACTATCCAAACGTTTTTCCAGAAGTAGTGGAATTCGATGAGGCTGCCCTCTGTCATCCTTTGTGTTTAGTTTGGAATTGATACTCTATTAAAACACACTCAAAGAGACCGGACATCCTATTATTGGTGTCTCTACCCGATGTGCAGTTCATGTGTTTATTTCGCTGCTGTCCTATGGTGTATAATTCTAGGAAAGGGCTTTGTCCCGATTATTCCCATTATTTTAACTCAATGTTGCTGTATCGTTTTTTCAACGTGGTGCAGAAGCTTGGCACCAGTTTGAACTACCGGTGAGTTTCCGTCGATGATAATAATGAAGGTAACAGCGGAATAAACAGTTCAACAGGTTGATTTCATACCCCACAAACGTCTCTCTTGAAATAAGAGCGTCATTTAGCTCTCAAGCAACACTTTCTCTCAGTTGAACTCAGTAGTTAGGTTGCCGATGCACCACTGTCAGCCGAGGTGACATTTTCAGCGCGTTGCCATGATGTGAACTGGGCTGTGGCATCATTGAGGTACGAGGATTATCTGTGTGTGTGTGGTTCCGTGCTTACTACTGATCGGGCCTGATCTAGGGATAAGCTTGTTTGGCGCGTTCATTGCCATTGAATCACATAAAATTTTACTGCCATTGATTGACATCCACGCGGTCTTTGACCATGCATTCTCATCTTAGCATTTACTATAGACACTCAGGGGGTCGCTGGGCTTGACCTCACGGGGTGTCAAACTGTTTTTTGTTGAGATGGGTGGGTTATTCAGCTTTATTTGCTTACTTTGAGTAGACTAGGTCCAGTTCGACATGATTGGACGAATCCGTCGTAGAGTAATCTGCTGCCGAGAATTCGCTTGATTTTCTGATGTCTCTGTATGTTTTCTCCAACCAAGAACTTGCGAAAGGGGTAACAACTACCTCGGTGTAGCTGACGCGCAACAAGAATCGATAAATTTCCTGTAAGATTCCGAATGAAAACACACTTCAGGCTTGATGAATAAATGCACCAGCACATTAAGTAACATGCAATAATACTTCGGGAAAAATTGTGGTGGCAAGGATACCGAGATTAGAGCGTATTTTCTCACTTAAATGAACCCCATTTTCCTCTCCATGTTAATAAGAACTTGTAGTAGCTGCTTCGGTGTGTCAGTTTGGACGTGTGTGTGTCCGTTCGTCGTTCCACCATCGATCTGGCATGTGACTTGAGTGGCTGATTGGATGTGTCCGATTGGTTGGCTCGCGTGAGCGCTGTGGGTTGACTGGATGTGTGACTCAGTTGTTTTGCTCGCCTGCCACGATAGCGGACCAGTTTGGCCGCGTGTACTCAATACACCGGTGTCCATACTTACATGTCCTTCTGACTTACTGTGAACTACAATAGAACTAACAGTTTCCAAAACCGCCGTAGTATAAAACAAGCGACTACGATTATACAGACTTAATACACCACTCGTAAGGTAGCTGGAATCTAGTCGGCAGCCAACGACCGGGTTCACTCTTCTTGCGGCGCAGTCCTCGAGATGCGGTCTCCCAGGAGGAGGCGAAATCCCCGAACTTCCGTCAACCTTATGTTATACATGGACCCACACGGGACAGGCTTCGACAACTACACTCATTTGTATATTACTTTGATCTTTACGGGAGAATCACCTGTTCTAAAGAAAATCAGGAACGAGGAACTCAGCTGGGTTCCAGATGAGTCTCCTGCCAAAGCCAAACTGATATGCAAATAAATGTAACTGTTGAAAAGCGAGAACATTCTCAATTATTTTAATGAAAAAATAGATAGATGGGAATCCAGACATTTCTGCATGTCGGGAAATAAAACGCAACTACCAAAAGCTAAAACACCGCCGCGAAAATCCAATAAACCAAACGATTTGTCGCCGTTAAACTAGTTTAGAAATCACAGAAATCAGAAGTATAAGGGATATCTGGGAGGGTGAAGATAACTACTTGATTTGGGTGTTTGAAAACGTCGGAAATCTGAGGACTTTCGCCGGACAAATATCAGAGGATAAGAAGCCTCTAAGGTAACATTCAAAACAGAAACACATGCGTTAGACCAGCCGTACTCGTCAAGAACATATATGAGCTCACTTAAAGTGGTTGTGAGCATTGTTGAGGTGATTCATGCGGATGAGGGCTTTTCTACATACATTTTGGTGGAAGTGAAATTCGTTATCCAGATATGAACATACTGCTAAAGTCAGTTACTTTCAAGGTCGGAGGAACAGATGAACCGAAACTTCTAAATGTTTGTGTATCTCTAATCAGGCTCACCCATTCTACCACGTCAAAAAAAACTCGAATGAAGTCATGAAGGCATAGTACGCGACAATGCGATTCATTATCCTTGATCCCCATATACTGGTACCAAGTGGCCTATGAATTCGCTTTAGAGGTTTTGAAAATTTGAACATACAGAGATATAAGACAATCACGTTAATTCTTGAATGCTCAGCACCCTACGACAGCACCAGGCATGAAGTTATTAAGGTCAGAGATCACACAAGTGCCGACCAAACACATCTACCGTGTGTATATCGACCAATTAGAATAGAAGCAAACAAGACATTTAGTGAGTCTCAATGCGCATACCAAGCAAAATGTTGGGTCATACCCAAGAAGAGAAAACATATACAAGTACATACAACTGATCAACGTGACTCGATTGACGCATCGTTTGGCTTCGCAACAAGGCGCTGGAGATGTCAACCACTCGTTCAGATCTACATCCAGCAAAGACGAGTTACCGGATTTGTTGTATTTTCTGTGTCCCCCTGAATTTCCAATGGTCACGTATGGGGTTAGAACAAGGCAGATGTAGGAAATGGGTAAACATACGATGAACTTATGGAGCTTCATTGGACATCACTGAAAAATCAGTAGCTCCAATTACAAGGATACCAACATTCCAGGTCTTTTCAAGTGTGTGCATATCTGAATCAAACTCTCCTGGTCAATGGATGTCTGTATTTGGTCCCCTGTCGCTTGAAGTTTATGTACGCAGGAATACAAACTCCGACTTTGGGTTTTGTGCAAAGAAAAACTAGATGTACTGATTACTGTATTGTGTTGTATTCGGCTGAAACCAGTTTCAAACATGCGCCATTTCGGAAAAAGAACTTGGTTCACTTGATGGGCGATAGCTTACAGGGGACCTTTGTTTGTAAAGTCATCAGTCTTCACATAATACGAGAAAGTTTATTAAAATATGCTTGTGATAACCTGGATATGGTATCACTGTTCAAAAACACTCCTAGATCATATGGCTTCTGGGACTAAGTCTAAGGTTAACCACTTACAAATCAGCCTCACTTACCTGTCTAGAAATCTCCATCAAGATCATAGTGATATGATATAGTACTACGACAAATACAGCTGATATTCTGACTGGACTTTGAAGATCCAGTCACTCAGAAAATCCAAAACCACCTACTGAATCATCGTACGACCTACTCCATAAAGAATAAATTAGGGAGAGCTGAGCTTTCGGCTGCTGCCTTTGGATGGCCTCTCCTCTAGAAGGATTATGCATCCAAGCGTATCTAAAGAAGTAAGCTGCTGTGGGCTCACCTGGAAAGTATGTATTTCCTGGAAAGCTATGGTAAACACCGGTTTGGTATTCTATTTTCTAGACGCGTTAACAATATCACTTCAGGAGGATTAGATCCTGTAGCTTATCAGTTGTGTGGATTTTCTGTAATTCCGTGGCTATATGCTCACTTTCTACCAGGAGGAACAACCATTGTATAGACGTAACGTGCCACTCACAAAGTTATTGAAAGCCGTCGCCACTTAAGACGAGGTAACTTGATGCAGACCGATCGGTTGAAGGACATCACAAACTAGACTGATAGGTATTTGAGAAACAATCGTGCTATCTTGCTTAAAGTCTTCAAACGCGTCTGAGGGCATTTTGGTTATTGTAATTTAAAGTAACTTCACGAGCTTTGGTGCGCTACGATGAATCCAACTGAAGAATTTGTAACTGTTGTTTATCCTAACGTTTAATCTTTCAAGTTTCCAAGTGTATAGAACAAAACTGCGAAAGTTTACAAAACGCAGGTTGTTCAATCTTACTTCGGTTGTATTTTCTTGAGAACCTAAAATAAAGTTCAGACCCGGTGAGTTATTCGATAGCATGGAGTTTTGAAAAGAAATTTGGGAAGCGAACAAAATAGAGAAGAAACTTTGGTATAAACTAACCTACGAATCAAGCAAACCACACACCTTTACACTGCGATGACGTAAAGGTGCCATCAAATGACAAGAAGTGTTTAATAAAAGCTTTAGAGTAAAACCATTTTTTACGAATTCAACACTGGCTAGTAAGGATATCATCAGGAATAAAATAAGGTCTGTGGAAGTAAAAGGATATTTTTCAACCATCAAGCTGTATAAGCCTTATTCATATCGTCAAAAATCCCGGCTAATCAAATCAATCCACCCTAAAATATTCCAATTTTCACCTTGACGAATCATTGCCATTTTTCTGTACTTTCTACTTTTCTGACTTCACTTGATGGGCGATAGCTTACAGGGGACCTTTGTTTGTAAAGTCATCAGTCTTCACATAATACGAGAAAGTTTATTAAAATATGCTTGTGATAACCTGGACATGGCATTACTGTTTGAAAACACTCCTCAGTTATATGTCTTCTGGGACTGCAGTACAAAGCAACCTCACTTGCCTGTCCGGAAATCTTCATCAAGATCATAGCGATACGATATAGTAATACGACAAATACAGCTGATATTTTGGAGCTCATTGTGACACTCGGAACGGTGTTTTCTTGCGTGAAAACTATTAAAAAACTCAGCGAATCTTCCAGAAACGCAGTGCACTCTTTTATTCTTCTTAGAGAAAGACCGCACAGAAAACTTCGTTGTAGTTGACCGTCTAGGAATCTCTAATGGTGTCTGATATGTTTACTACCATAATTATACTTGTACTTGCAGATAACTGGAAAACTTTTTCATGGTGATCGGAGGGCATCATTGGTAATGACGTGAGACAAATCAGCTTACAATGGTGCGGTGGCGGATGCCTACACTTTGCAAAACCGATTAATTCAGTCATCGGAAGCCAGATTAACATCCGGTAACGATATATTCAATGGCGGAAACGCTGTCTCCGTGTACTCTTTGTCATGAACTTAACTACGAAGGCTGCTGGGTTTCTCGTTTTCAATCTATCTAAAAACTAACGGACCAGTAAGCAGAGTGATTATCTTCACTGCTCACCACTTTTTGTTTTCCCGGTGCAAACTCTCCCGAAATCCACAAAGTTATCATAGATGATTCGAGCTTCGCATCTTAACAAAGTACATGATACAATCTTGGGTGCCTAGTGAATGATAAAATGACCGGATTTCAAACAATATAACGTGTCTCGAACGTCTGTAAATGACGACTCGTTTTTGCCAGACATTATGGCCCCAAACTAGTATGGCTTAATGTTTTCCTCAAATGCATTAAAAAAGTGAGTGCATCAGGAGTACATTCCTCAAGCAAGGTGACGAGAAAACACTAAAATCATGGATCAGCTGGTGTCATACTTACTGCTTTGAAGATCTTTAGACCTGTGATACCTCAATGCTTTTGAAAGTACGATGCATCCTAATGCTATGCAAATAATACAGCTTTCTCCCCCTAGTTAGTGAAGTCCAAAATGCGGTCACCATGCTACATGTTCTAAGATGTAACTGTATGTTTTAACACAAAAACATTACTAAGCTGTTCGCCCCTGATCTGCAGTAGTGGCCACTCCCTAGATGATCACACGTCACAGACACTCAAATCACTTAAAATCATTTCTGTCCCACTTTGCAACCTTAGCCGACAACATATACACCACTATTTTCCATCCGCTTTTTGTTTACGCAGCTACCACCTGCGTCACGCGCCAGGCTTAAAAACTTCAACCACACAAGGGTAAGGTGTATTCAGCTGCACACAATAAACAGACATGCAACTAGGCCTACCACACACACACAGGACAGGAAGCCAGATAGCTCCCTCCGCAGGCCTCCACGGGAAACTACGAAACAAGTGTAGCAGCTATACTGCGCAGAAGACACGTTCCACGTCCGGCGGTTCACTCAGGATCTCTCAACAGTTGTCCTCAAACGATAAGTCACCTTTCAATTCATTCAACTTTTCGCATTGTATCTACATTATTCAAGTTGCACCTAACTTTTGTAATTATCATTCTGGTAAAACGGACGTTTGCTAGTGCTTGTCGCTTTAATTAGGTTACAACTATAGACAGTTACTTTTGCAAGAAGACGTCCCTCACCCCTACATGGAGCACTCATCTAAACCTTTTCCACTTGGAACGTGCGAGCTTGTGCTTGACACTTAAACCTTTTGAGGAAACCTCAAAGGAGTTTACCAAACTTCTTAGTGGTACAATATCCCTCCAGTGAGGATT